AGAGGGGACACATGTTGATGTAGAAGAGACATGAAGAAGAGGGGACACATGTTGATGTAGAAGAGACATGAAGAAGTGGATTTTGCACAACAGAAGACCTTTAAATAAATCACTTGACAATATTAGAGATGTACATATTTAAATGTTAATTAATATTTGGATGTGAATAATTAATGTTTAATAATAATAACAATTCATAAACATTTTATTATAGCGCTTTTCCAGGTGCTCAAAGCGCTTTACAAATAGACATTACACACATCAGACATGTAACATCATTACTGTGGACAATACCCAGAGAAAAGTGTTCAGGCTTCTCTGAGCATCTGAACATGTGTTGCGAACACAAACACAATTAACAAACCAATAAAGTTTCAATATTTTAAACTGAATACCATCAGATGTTCTCAGTATATCAGCATTAAGACATAACTCTGTTATTGGTGGGAAATGATATAGATCTTATTTTAAACTCCAACACATTGTGATAAAAACGTGTTTAATGATAAAGAAACTACTAGAAAGTAATAATAACATGTTTCTGTGATAACTGTAAGTCCTGCTGTGTGGTGTGATCACATGCTGAGAAACCTCTAAAGTCCTTCATGTGTTTGACATGTCGCCTCCATCACTCAATATGAAGAGAGGAACGGAACAATTTAACTATTATTATAAATAAATAGAAGAACAGTGTTGGTTTTATTTTGCTCTCAGTATTTAAACAGCAGAAATGTTATAGTGTTTATTAGGGATGGGAACGATTAATCGAATATTCGAAATTATTCAGGTATTCGAATAATTATTCAGGTATTCGAATATGAGTTATGAATATTTTTATTAATTATTATTTTTATTTTTTTATTTTTTGGGAGGGATGCCTAAGTTGATTACATATTATCAAATTGAATAATTCAATGTATACGACAGTGCCATAGCTAAATGTGTTAGGTGACGTCTAAAGGTGTGTTTTGTTCCGCTCACCGGTCCCTCACAGCGGGCAGAGCTGCAGGTGCTGATCTCTCTCTCTCGCGTCCGGTACTTCACTCGCGTTTATGTCCAAATCCATCAGATCTAGCTAGTTCTAGCTAATGATATGGCTGCTGCACCTGCCTACACGCAGATCACGCAGACTCAAACCTCATCTTATGCCCAAATGCGGCGCAAATGCGCTCCGCAGCCGTTGCGAGGTTCCGGCGCTAACAGTTCATGAGCGTGCTCCCCCGCCCCCTGTCAACACTCGCGACACATGAGTGGCCAGCCTAAACAACAATAAGCACTGCTTGGCAACCGTGTGTGGCGGCAAAGTACATAGACATTTTGACAGGAGAGATTTAGTTTTGCCGGTATTCCACATATTTTACCAGTCATAGTCCGGTAATTATTTACACTCTAAGAAGAGTCCTACACAACAGACATGGCGTCAAAAAGGAGTAATGTGTGGAAATATTTCGACCAGGTTAGTGAGTGTGGTGTAGAGTGCAAACTATGCCAAATTAAACTTATATGTATACATACTATACCTTGCTATACCCGCAACCTCCGTTCCAGCTGAGAGGGTCTTCTCTACAGCTGGCCTGATTGTGAATCGCCTCCGCACATGAAAGCTGTAGGCCTATAGCTGTCAAACTGTGATCACCAGTTCAATACATTTGACAAATTCGACTTGGTTTCTATACTTATTTGAACATGTATTTATTTATTTCCAAAAGTTATTTTTAAAAAAAATGTCGAAAATAAAAAATTGAAATCTTTTTTTTACCCAATTTTTTTTTTATAGGATATTTACATTTCGGTTAACCGGTTAACCGTTTTTTGGGGGGTCGAATATTCGAATATACATTTGCTTTCAAATTCCCATCCCTAGTGTTTATTTGAATAATTAAACTCCTGATCCACATTAGTTTATAAAGTTAATCACATCTGGACTTACTTGGCCTTCCTGCAGTTCCTCAAAGCTGGAATCAGTCTCCGTTTCCCCTCCCGTGATGTTTTGTACTTCTCCAGGTCCAACTCATCCAGAACCTCCTCTGACATCTGCAGCATGTAGGCCAGAGCAGAGCAGTGGATCACAGAGAGTTCCTTCTTTGATCTGTTCTCTGACTTCAGGAACTCTGTGATCTTCTGATGTACTGAGTGGTCCTTCATCTCTGTCAGACAGTGGAAGATGTTGATGCTCCTGTCAGGAGAGATTTCATCACTGCTCATCTTCTTCAGGTTGTTGATGGCTCTCTGGATGTCTTTGCGACCCAGCTGGCCTTTGAAGAGTCTCTTGATGATTTTTGGACGCTTGTCTGTGCGACCCAGCAGGCCTCCTAACAGTCTCTGGTTGGACTCCAGAGAGAGGCCATGGAGAAAGCGGACAAACAGGTCCAGGTGGCCATTTTTACTACTGAGGGATTCCTCCATGGCTCCCTTTAGGAAGACATCCAGGGATGAGTAATCCTGATCACTGTTTTTACTGTTCTCATCGGGCCAGTCTCCCTGCAGGAAGTCCTTCAGTACCGCTGTGTCTCTGTTGGTGTAACAGTGGAACATGTAGACTGCAGCCAGAAACTCCTGAATGCTCAGATGAACAAAGCAGTAGACTGTTTTCTGGAAGATCACTCTCTCTCTTTTGAAGATCTCTGTACAAACTCCTGAGTGCACCAAGGCCTCGGTGACATCAAGGCCACAGCGCTCTAGGTCTTCTTGGTAGAACATGATGTGTCCTTTCTCCAGATGTTCAAACGCCAGCCTCCCCAGCTTCAGAAGAAGCTCCCTGTCAGCCTCCGTCAGCTGCTGTGGACTCGTCTCATGTCCCTCTTCATACTTCTGTTTCTTCCTCTTGGTCTGGACCAGCAGGAAGTGTGAGTACATGTCAGTGAGGGTCTTGGGCAGCTCTCCTCTCTGGTCTGTAGTCAACATGTGGTCCAGAACTGCAGCAGTGATCCAGCAGAAGACTGGGATCAGACACATGATGTGGAGGCTCCTGGAGCTCTTGATGTGAGAGATGATTCTGCTGGACAGCTCTTCATCACTCGATCTCCTCCTGAAGTACTCCTCCTTCTGGGCGTCAGTGAAGCCTCGTACTTCTGTTACCCTGTCCACACACTCAGGAGGGATCTGATTGGCCGCTGCAGGTCTGGAAGTTATCCAGACGAGAGCCGAGGGAAGCAGCTTCCCCCTGATGAGGCTTGTCAGCAGCACGTTGACTGAGGACTGCTGTGAGACATCAGACACAACCTCATTGTTTCTGAAGTCCAGAGAAAGTCTGCTTTCATCCAGGCCGTCAAAGATGAGCAGCACTTTGCAGACAGCCAGCTGCTCTGCTGTGACCTTCTGTAAGGTTGGATGGAAAACATGGAGCAGCCTGAGAAGACTGCACTGCTCACCTTTGATCAGGTTCAGCTCCCTGAAGGAGAGCGGGATCACCAGACTGACATCTTGGTTTTCCAAACCCTCGGCCCAGTCCAGAGTGAACTTCTGCACTGAGAAGGTTTTTCCAACTCCAGCGACTCCGTTGGTCAGGACCGCTCTGATGAGAGTCTGTTGGTCAGGTGAGGCTTTAAAGATGTCCTGGCACTTGATTGGAGTGTCATGGAGGGTCTCCTTCTTGGAAGATGTCTCCAGCTGCCTCACCTCATGTTGGGTATTAACCTCTTCACTCTGACCTTGTGTGATGTAGAGCTCAGTGAAGATCCTGTTGAGGAGGGTTTCACTTTGATCAGTTCCTTCAGTCACACGTTCACATCTCCTCCTCAGACTGAGCCTATGTTCATCTAAAACCTCCTGCAGACCACTATCTGCTGAAAGAGAAGGAAACAGGAGAGAATCAGAAAATGCTTTTGAGAATCTAACAATAAAACTAGGGCTGTCAGTCGATTAAAATATTTAATCGCGATTAATCGCAAATTAATCGCACATTTTGTATCTGTTCTAAATGTACCTTAGAGGGATATTTTTCAAGTTTTTAATACTCTTATCAACATATGAGTGGACAAATATGCTTTATATGTTTGTTTATTATCATTTGAACAATGACAATGTGTGTGTGTGTGTGTGTGTGTGTGTGTGTGTGTGTGTGTGTGTGTGTGTGTGTGTGTGTGTGTGTGTGTGTGTGTGTGTGTGTGTGTGTGCATGTGTGTGTGGAGAGACACTGTGATGGATCGTTGAAGCTATGTGCAGCTCAAGGCATATATGCTCGAACGGGAGCTGCCTGGACGCTGCAATCATGTTGCGCGCACTATCCGTGCTGAGTGTGCTGACTTTTCGTACAATGTCCCACTGTCTGGCTACCTGCATCAAGTCAAGTGCTCAGCGCAGTTGTCGGCGAAATGTCGCTCCTCTGTTTTCATTGAAACAGCTCCTTATATCCGTTAGCGCAGCTAGCTAGCACCAGATGCTAGCACCAGATGCTAACAACAACAACAACACGTAAGGTGTGCCTCGCTCGCGAGTCGCGCCACACATACACACACCCTCCCGGTCCTCCCGATGGCCAGTCCGGGCCTGCCGGTGAGCGTGGAAGTGTGGTCTGCCACAAGCGGGCGGCAGGAGCGGGGCTGTCAGCATCAGCTTGTAGATGGTATTTTAAACTCGATGCGCTCTGAAACTACGGGGCGGCCGAGGACAAAAAATACACATGCTTTAATCGCGTTAAAATAATTAGCGTTAACTTGACAGCCCTAAATAAAACTAATACAAATAGACTGAGTTTAAATGTTTTGCAAACAGCTTAATGTCTATGCTCTACAACAGTATACCTCATCAAGACCAAATGAACCAGGAAGAGGAATAAGACGCTGCATGAGTTTGGCCTCTTACCTCGTACAGAGCTGGTCTGACTGGCTGTCTGCAGTCTAGCTCTGGTTCTGGATCTTTCTCCACACTGGGGACAGGAGGAGTCTCCTGATGGAGGTTGCTGCTCCCAGTATGAGGTGATGCACTGTCTGCAGAACCAGTGTCCACAGCTGGTAGAGACTGGATCCTTCAGGACGTCCTGACACAGAGCACAGCTGGACAGCTGCTCCTCCACAGGAACACCACTCTTCCTCTTCCCTCTGTGAAGATGAACACATCCTTTATAGCACTTTAGGGGAGCTGATTATCACCAAAGGTACAACAAGGGGGAACATTCTAGTTTGATATTTAAAAAAAGTTCTATATAATATCCCTCTGTGATCAGGTAGATATCTTACAATTCACATTATCATAAAACCAAAGAACATCCTGTCTGGATTCATGACATCCCCCAGAGGAGCACAAGTTCACTGCATCTACTAAGACACACAGCTGTATTAACCTGGTGCTTTATAAACCCAATTTACAGAGAATCTGCTGTGAATTCATAGCAATAAACATCTGGAAAGGATGCCTAAGTAACAACAGAATGATACTGATGTGTAAAAAGCCTGAGTTAATGCTTTGTCAGGTCTGTCTCCAACACAACGAGCATACACATTTAAAAATGTTTGTTTTCTGAATGAGATGGGTTTGATTAAAGCTAGGCTAACATTGTAGCTGCTCCATCAGCACTCAGAGTAACTTCATGTAGTCATACGTACAGCAGTGACTATATTGTTAGCACCACAGACAGTCTCTGGTTTAAACAGGTACATTAATAACCATGATTGAATATGAGCTGCTGTAGAGCTCTGTTCTCCTCTCTGATTCCCCTCAGACCGTCAGAGACCACAGGAGCACAATCTCAACACTGACAGGTTTTTGTAACAGAGCGTCACAAACTTTACACTCAAGTTGAAATGTGTCACGCTGCACGAATACGCAGGTGATATGAATTTCCCATCTTCACTTCCTTCGTGTTGCCAGGCACGGATCTGGGTCTTTGCATTGACTCTACATGTAATCTCTTGAACTCTGTTATATCTGCTGATGCTAAACTCAACCAGCTCACCAGGTTGTTGCTATTATTAATAAACATCTTAAAAAGACATATCATAAACATGCCCAAGCAGTTAAATAATGTTTTGGACGATATATTTAGTTTTTAAATCAGTATATATCTAAATGTATTTAAAACCATTTTATACCACAGATACAATGATAATATAATTGCATATTGAATTATCCTCAAATAATGTTAGCTTGCTGTACTCTGCTGCGTGTTTCCTTTACAAACTGCTCACATGATATCATTAAAGAACACTTTAATATATTAGATTACATAAAAACTGAATCCTCTTCAGGTCAAGTTACAGTAGAAACAGACTCTTACTTTGTGTCTGAGGGTCCAGGTTCATTTCTGAAGGATATAGGGTCCCACATAGACTGGTCACTCTTCAGAGACAGACAGCTGGGGACTGGAGACTCTGCTCTCTGTCTGTGGAAACAACACATGTTTTAAACATCATTAGTTTATTTAAAGAGCAGATTTTGATCCATGACTGATCACCTGATTAACGATTTTTAGAGTTTTTGAGTCTTTATTGTGGGTTTCTGTTGTTAAAATTCATTTGAGTGTGAAACGTTTTACATATTTGTATTTTGTTTGCTTAATTTAACACAAAGTCCAACATGTAGAGTGTGAGGATGATTTCACTGGCAGATCATTTACTATTGCTGTAAAGTAATAATTAGGGGTAGTGGTGGTCCAATGGATAGTGAGGTGGGCTGGTGATCAGAAGGTTGCGAGTTCAAATCCCACCTGGAACACCATCACTAGTGTGCCCTTGAGTAAGGCACTTGTCCCTTACGGACAGTCCACACAGCAGTGTTAAAAAAATCTTGGAGGTGGGCGTATCTGAAGCTTGGGGATTTTTTGCGAGCAAGGCACCAACAACCAATCACATGAATCTCCCGCACCCGACATACAAATCAAAAAAGCCCGAAGTAAACTGGATATAAACTCCCCAAACAGGCGAAAACCTACCACTGTCTCTGCCACCTCCCTCCATGCCTGGCTCTTCCGGTTTGTATCCCGGTAGGTAAATAGGGACTGGTCATAAAGCACCGGGTGATTCCCTACCGCTAATTTCTCCTCCATGTTTTGGAATATGAGGAAATGACCTGCGGTATGTCTCTCCCAGCTTACACGCGGTTTGATTGGCTAGCGCTTGAACTGTCAGATTTGCATAAACGGGATTTGATTGGCTGATGCTTCCACCTCAGCCTCAAAAGTTGAACATTGCTCAACTTTTGAATCCTGAGATGCCTGGAAATCTCCGCTCTGCTTCCCACAATGCAGTTCGGCGAAAAGTGAGGCAAAGTGACGTCACCCCATTCAAAGTGAATGGGCAGAAGCGTTAGAAGATTTTTTTAACGCTGCTGTGTGGACGGGCCGTTAGTTACTCCAGGAAGAATGTCCCTGTAATTGGTAATTGTAAAAGTCGCTTTGGATAAAAGCGTCAGCTAAATGAAATGTAATGTAATCAACCCGGTATCACGGCAAGACGTGAACATGTGACGATTTACCATGCTGGGAGACGTGAACATGTCACGATTTCGTCCCTTCAAACGTGACAGTTACACGGTATTGTTGACATGGCCCAACCAGTGGAGAAATACCCGGAAATGCCAAGCAAATGCTCTACCCCGACGGTTGGTTGTTATTGTCAATATTAATATAATAATGATTTATTTTTTAATAGTCACACTCGATTTCGACAATTTTCTTGTTGCCCCAGCTGGTTGACACCTCTTTTAGCAGAAACGAAGGCTACATTAATGTATTAAATCGATGTTAATCCATGTGTGTGTTTGTGGAATTAACGGACGTGACGTTGTGCGATTGCGTTGCCAGGCAACAGCTTCGGTTCATGTTAATTTACAAACTCTTCAACTAGAACCGTAGTGATATTTAAAAACATTTTAGAAGAACTCACGAAATACTTTAATGTAAATTAAAATTTAAATGTGAAGGAATGTGTGTACAACAAAATACACCCTTCATAAGCAATACCGGAAACAGACGTAGGCAAGATCCTCAGCTCGCTGATTGGATGGTTTAGCCGCAATGCACGCTGGGAAATGGGGTTTATGCGATGTGAAATCCGAAAACATTTTTTAAAAATAGAATAATACTTTATTCCGAGTGTGCTTGCTTTTCTCTTTGAAAGTCATCACATAACGGCATTGTAATACACTTTTCGGCTCCATTAAATATGACATATCTGCCATAGTTGTCTATTTATAGAGCCCTGATGAGAAGACTTCTAGACAAACAGGAAGAACTGCCACCAAAACTGAAAACTTGACGTGGATCTTAAATATATAAGCAATTAAACAACATCTTACATTTCTTTTCACACAATACGTCTCCTTGCAGTATCAACACTAATTTGGATGACTTTTATATTTGATCCAATTGGTAGATAGGCTGTATTTACGCCATAACGGTGCACAGCTGATAGAAAGGGACATCTACTGGTTAAAGCACGTTATTGAATTGTATTATTTGTATTATTAGATATTAATAGGATCCCTATAAAGGGTTAGGTCTACTAATAGTTCATTAAAGACTGTATATAATGACTATTTTGCACATCCCTTTCAAGATTTCAAGATTCTCTATTTATAATATCAGTTAAAATAAGTGCTTACACATAGTTAACATTGCTATGTTAAGCACTTATTTGAACTGATATTATACATATGTATTATACTCTTGTAAGATGTATGTAGATAGTATAAGAAATGTGCAGAATATGACAATGTAATGGTGGAGGTACACACATATTGATAGATGTCTTGTAATGCACTGTTGAGGAACCTGCGACCCAAGTTTTTCATTCATTGCATAACGACAACGTAGTTGTGTATAATATGATATGTCAATAAACCTTAGAAAATCTTGAAATCTTGAAAGGGATGTGCAAAATAGTCATTATATACAGTCTTTAATTAACTATTAGTAGAGAATAACAAGTAATGTATATACTTTATAGGGATCCTATTAATATCTAATAATACAAATAATAAAATTCAATAACGTGCTTTAACCACCAGGTGTCCATTTCTGTCAGCAGTGCACCGTTATGGTGTAAATACAGCCTATCTACCAATTGGATAAGATATATAAATCAGCTAAATTAGTGTTGACACTGCAGGGAGACGTATTGTGTGAAAAGAAATGTAAGATGTTGTTTAATTGCTTATATATTTAAGATCCACGTCACGTTTTCAGTTTTGGCGGCAGTTGTTCCTGTTTGTCTAGAAGTCTTCTCATCAGGGCTCTATAAATAGACAACTATGGCAGATATGTCATATTTAATGGAGCCGAAACGTGTATTACAATGCCGTTATGTGATGACTTTCAAAGAGAAAAGCAAGCACACTCGGAATAATGTATTATTCTATTTAAAAAAAATGTTTTCGGATTTCACATCGCATAAACCCCATTTCCCAGCGTGCATTGCGGCTAAACCATCCAATCAGCGAGCTGAGGATCTTGCCTACGTCTGTTTCCGGTATTGCTTATGAAGGGTGTATTTTGCTGTACACACATTCTTTCACATTTCAATTTAAATTTACATTAAAGTATTTCGTGAGGCCTTCTAAAATGTTTTTAAATATAACTACGGTTCTAGTTGAAGAGTTTGTAAATTAACATGAACCGAAGCTGTTGCCTGGTAACGCAATCGCACAACGTCACGTCCGTTAATTCCACAAACACACACATGGATTAACATCGATTTAATACATTAATGTAGCCTTCGTTTCTGCTAAAAGAGGTGTCGACCAGCTGGGGCAACAAGAAAATCGGCGAAATCGAGTGTGACTATTACAAAATAAATCATTATTATATTAATATTGACAATAACAACCAACCGTCGGGGTAGAGCATTTGCTTGGCATTTCCGGGTATTTCTCCACTGGTTGGGCCATGTCAACAATACCGTGTAACTGTCACGTTTGAAGGGACGAAATCGTGACATCTTCACGTCTCCCAGCATGGTAAATCGTCACATGTTCACGTCTTGCCGTGATACCGGGCTGAATGTAATGTAATTATAAAATAAATTAGTCAACAGGATGACTACAATTAGTCGAAAATTAATATATATAAGTACATATCAATAAAAAAATTGATTAATTTTAATAAGAAATTAAATCATTAGCGTTTCAAATATGTTCATTTAAAGTGGACCTATCATGCTATATTTGAATAATATAGTGTAGGACCATACCTATATAGGGCATATTTATACTTTTTTTATTTCAAAATACCAAACAGATCATGCATTTTAGCCACGCCTCATTTCGCTCAATTTGAAAAAAAATTGCTCTGTTTTAGCAAGGGCAGATTCAGTGAGAACAGCACCACCTACAGGCCTGGCATATGTACTACAGCGTCTCCAGCGCTTTCGAACGGCAATGGCCGTGGCTGTCTCCTCCTGATTGGTGGAGTTGGCCCAATAGCCGTAGCGCCACTGTCCTGACGTCAGGACAGTGTTCAAATCTGGATCAGTTTTTATCAGATCCGTTGCAGCCCCTTTTTTAGAGATTTGGGTATGGAGGAAAATAGAGAGGGTTGTGTTTTCTGACACTTGGTGAGTTCCCTGGAACACCGGGGACACATATTCATGTAGAAAAGATGTACAAAAGTGCATTTTGCATGATAGGTCCCCTTTAAATACAAATGACCCATTAATAGGGATAGAAATTGAGTGTGTAATGATCGCAGGCGGTCCTCCTCTGGCAAGCCGGGTGTAATCACACTAATCAGAGAGCCCCGGTGCCGCTACCTGAAGGAGTTGGTGTGTGCGAGTCGGGTGACACACTGAAGCGTGCAGACGGGAGGCATTCTACCAAGTCAGGACAGGCAGCCGGTAACACACTGAAGTGTGCAGACGGGAGGCATCCTACCAAGTCAGGACAGGCAGCCGGTAACACACTGAAGCGTGCAGACGGGAGGCATTCTACCAAGTCAGGACAGGCAGCCGGTCAGACACTGAAGCGTGCAGACGGGAGGCATTCTACCAAGTCAGGACAGGCAGCCGGTAACACACTGAAGCGTGCAGACGGGAGGCATTCTACCAAGTCAGGACAGTCAGCCGGTCAGACACTGAAGTGCAGACGGGAGGCATTCTACCAAGTCAGGACAGGCAGCCGTCAGACACTGAAGCTTGCAAAAGGGAGGCATTCTACCAAGTCAGGACAGGCAGCCGGTCAGACACTGAAGCGTGCAGACGGGAGGCATTCTACCAAGTCAGGACAGGCAGCCGGTCAGACACTGAAGCTCGCAGACAGGAGGCATTCTACCAAGTCAGGACAGGCAGCCGGTAACACACTGAAGCGTGCAGACGGGAGGCATTCTACCAAGTCAGGACAGGCAGCCGGTCAGACACTGAAGCGTGCAGACGGGAGGCATTCTACCAAGTCAGGACAGGCAGCCAGTCAGACACTGAAGCTTGCAAAAGGGAGGCATTCTACCAAGTCAGGACAGGCAGCCGGTCAGACACTGAAGTGTGCAGACGGGAGGCATTCTACCAAGTCAGGACAGGCAGCCGGTCAGACACTGAAGCGTGCAAAAGGGAGGCATTCTACCAAGTCAGGACAGGCAGCCGGTCAGACACTGAAGTGTGCAGACGGGAGGCATTCTACCAAGTCAGGACAGGCAGCCGGTCAGACACTGAAGTGTGCAGATGGGAGGCATCCTACCAAGTCAGGACAGGCAGCCAGTCAGACACTGAAGCGTGCAGACGGGATGCATTCTACCAAGTCAGGACAGGCAGCCGGTAACACACTGAAGCTTGCAGACGGGAGGCAATCTACCAAGGCAGGACAGGCAGCCGGTCAGACACTCACATCCATAGTGTTGTGTGAGAGGTCCGCAGAGCCACGGTGCGCTAAGTTGTTTTATGTTCTGGTAAATTGTTTGCGTGTGTGCCACGTGTCCTTTTATAACTCTGCGCGTCATTGTTTATATATTAAGTATCAATTTGGTGCGCTGATTTTGCAGAACATTCTGAGCTAAGACTCTCTGTTATGTATTGTTAAAAGGATAGGTAAAAGAAGGACCTATTTAATTTAACATCCTGCAATTAGCCTACTCTGATAGGTGTTACAAGGATATACGATTTTAGGAGGTTAAATACATTGAATTTAAGAAGAACAATGAATAAATAAATAAATAAATACAATAAAATATTTATTGTTAAAAAGTATTAATTTCGATTTACTAATTAAGCCTTTCTAATAAAATCCTGTTAATTTAGTTCACTGAATATTCTAAAATAGAGGAAATAATCTTTCTTGTTATAAAGAATTCATTTGATTTATTAAAAACATTCCTAGTAAAGTCTTGTTTAATTCATTGAATACTTCTGTTAAAACAATAAAGAATCTTTGTTGTTTAAATAAAATTAATTTGATTTGCTAAAAAGAAAATTCTAGTAAAATCCAGTTAATTAAATCTGCGGAGATTTAAAAAGAGCTTGGGTTTAGAGAATTGATGTTTAACATTAATATTTCTGTGCTTAGTCTGCCCAGTTTATTTGTAAAATATTCACCTTTAAGGCAGCAGTGTCAGTGTATTGTTTGCATGCTTTGTTTATTTTAAT